TCGTTTTTTTTCTTTTCTTTTCCTTCTGGTCATTGTTGTTTTTCTTCACTTTTCTGAAATATCTTTTCTTTTCTTTTTCTTTTCTGTTTTCCTTTCTTCTTCTCGTTTTTCTTTCTTTTTCTTATTCTTGTTCTTTTCACTTTTCTGCTTCTAAATATTTTTCTTTTCTTTTTCTTTTTTGTTTTATTTTCTTCGTTATTCGTCTCGTTTTTCTTTTTCTTTTCTTTTCTTTTATGTCATTGTTGTTTTTCTCTTCACTTTTTCTGCTTCTAAATATCTTTTCTTTTCTTTTTCTTTTCTGTTTTCATCTTCCCTTTTTTTCTTTTTTTTTTTTTCATTTTTGTTTTCTCTTCATTTTTCTGCTTCTAAATTTCTTTTCTTTTCTTTTTCTTTTCTGTTTTACTTTCTTCGTTATTCTTCTCGTTGTTTTTTTCTTTTCCTTTCCTTCTGGTCATTGTTGTTTTTCTTTTCACTTTTTCTGCTTCTAAATATCTTTTCTTTTCTTTTTCTTTTCTGTTTTCCTTTCTTCGTTATTCTTCTCGCTTTATTTCTTTTCTTTTCCTTCTGGTCATTTTTTGTTTTTCTCTTCACTTTTTCTGCTTCTAAATATCTTTTCTTTTCTTTTTCTTTTCTGTTTTCCTTCCTTCGATATTCTTCTCGTTTTTTTCTTTTCTTTTCTTTTTGGTCATTGTTGTTTTTCTTTTCACTTTTTCTGCTTCTAAATATATTTTCTTTTCTTTTTCTTTTCTGTTTTATTTTCTTCGTTATTCTTCTCGTTTTTTTTTTTTCTTTTTTTTTCTTTTTTCTTTTCTGTTTTATTTTCTTCGTTATTCTTCTCGTTTTTTTTCTCTTCTTTTCTTTTTGACCATTGTTGTTTTTCGTTTCCAAAAGACGGGAAGGGCGTATGAAAATACATTTAGTCTGCTTATTACACTGTTAAATGAAGTGCAACAATACAGGCTAAAGAAAAAATAAACCATAGCCTTTCAAGTTAGACTTTGCGAATGCTTTTATCACTCTCTTTATCACCTTCTTCGTCCTTCGTTTCAACTTCACTTACACGTTTCTGTGTCTCTGTTTACGTATATTACACATGATGTTTACGTTTCAAGTAAGACACAAAACCCAAACGAGTTTAAACATTTTCTTCTCATGGTAAGATATCTCTGGGCTAGCTTCCAAGATGACCCTCAGCATTCCCAATAAAACCACGATTGCAGAAATTAGTTTTTATAACCTACTAGCACCTGAACTTTGCAAGAGTTGAAGTTGTAACTCAAACGACTTGCAGTAAGATTTATTTGTATAATCTCATCTTTACAAATATATCAAAAATGAAATGATGGATATGATATACTGTAAAGTCTGTCTGTCTATCTGTCTATCTAACTACACACATATATTTATGTATATATAGATAAATAAATAGATAGGTAGATAGATAGATAGATATAGATAGATAGATAGATAGATAGATAGATAGATAGATAGATAGATAGATAGATAGGATAGATAGGATAGATAGGATAGATAGATAGATATAGATATATATGTATGTATGTATGTATATATGAACACATGTACGAGCCATATACAGATATATACAAATGTAATGAGATACACGTAACGCCATATATCCCCGTGTTTCACCGCCATTTATACCAACAGCGAGACCAACTATGAATTCATAATCCCAAAGCATGTACCTCCGATGATACCAGAGTTCTGACAAAGCCACCGATCGTGTTCACATCAATAATGGCTTGGAACTGAACTAATTTCTGAAAGTTATCTGCTCGGGTTGCTGACGGAACGCGGCCGGTGCTCGTATTCTCTACAACGAGCAGTTCGGTGTTCGGTAGTTTGAGGGAAAACTAGTCGTTGGTATTCGGTTTTATTGCTAAAAAATCAGGGGTGAAAATCGTTTAAAATCGTGTCGTTGATGGATTTAGTGGAGGGTGGGATAAATCGGTTCTTGCTTTATCACAAGTGGAACAACTTTGAAATCGTGTCATTGGTGGATTTAGTGGATGTCGTGATAAATCAGTTCTTGCTTTTATCACAAGTGGAACAACTTTGAAATCGTGTCATTGGTGGATTTAGTGCGTGATAAATCAGTTCTTGCTTTTATCACAAGTGGAACAACTTTGAAATCGTGTCATTGTGGATTTATGGAGGGTGGATAAATCAGTTCTTGCTTTATCACAAGTGAACAACTTTGAAATCGTGTCATGGATTTAGTGGAGGGGGATAAATCAGTTCTTGCTTTATGTGGAACAACTTTGAAATCGTGTCGATTTAATATGTCAGTCGTGGCAGTACATCGCAAGTGGAACAACTTTGAAATCGTGTCATTGATGGATTTAGTGGATGTCGTGATAAATCAGTTCTTGCTTTTATCACAAGTGGAACAACTTTGAAATCGTGTCGTTGATGGATTTAGTGGAGGGTGGGATAAATCGGTTCTTGCTTTATCACAAGTGGAACAACTTTGAAATCGTGTCATTGATGGATTTAGTGGAGGGTGGGATAAATCGGTTCTTGCTTTATCACAAGTGGAACAACTTTGAAATCGTGTCATTGGTGGATTTAGTGGAGGGTGGGATAAATCAGTTCTTGCTTTATCACAAGTGGAACAACTTTGAAATCGTGTCATTGATGGATTTAGTGAGGGTGGGATAAATCAGCTTCTTGCTTTATCACAAGTGGAACAACTTTGAAATCGTGTCATTGGTGGATTTAGTGGAGGGTGGGATAAATCAGTTTTGCTTTATCACAAGTGGAACAACTTTGAAATCGTGTCATTGGTGGATTTAGTGGAGGGTGGGATAAATCAGTTCTTGCTTTATCACAAGTGGAACAACTTTGAAATCGTGTCATTGGTGGATTTAGTGGAGGGTGGGATAAATCAGTTCTTGCTTTATCACAAGTGGAAACAACTTTGAAATCGTGTCGTTGATGGATTTAGTGGAGGGTGGGATAAATCAGTTCTTGCTTTATCACAAGTGGAACAACTTTGAAATCGTGTGTCATGGATTTAGTGGAGGGTGGGATAAATCAGTTCTTGCTTTTATCACAAGTGGAACAACTTTGAAATCGTGTCATTGGTGGATTTAGTGGAGGGTGGGATAAATCAGTTCTTGCTTTATCACAAGTGGAACAACTTTGAAATCGTGTCATTTTAGTGGAGGGTGGGATAATTTCTTGTTTATCACAAGTGGAACAACTTTGAAATCGTGTCATTGGTGGATTTAGTGGAGGGTGGGATAAATCGGTTCTTGCTTTATCACAAGTGGAACAACTTTGAAATCGTGTCGTTGATGGATTTAGTGGAGGGTGGGATAAATCAGTTCTTGCTTTATCACACAAGTGGAACAACTTTGAAATCGTGTCGTTGATGGATTTAGTGGAGGGTGGGATAAATCGGTTCTTGCTTTATCACAAGTGGAACAACTTTGAAATCGTGTCGTTGATGGATTTAGTGGAGGTGGATAAATCGGTTCTTGCTTTATCACAAGAACAACTTTGAAATCGTGTGTTGAATTTAGTGGAGGTGGGATAAATCGTTCTTGCTTTATCACAAGTGGAACAACTTTGAAATCGTGTCGTTGATGGATTTAGTGGAGGGTGGGATAAATCGGTTCTTGCTTTATCACAAGTGGAACAACTTTGAAATCGTGTCATTGGTGGATTTAGTGGGGGGGGAATAAGTCAGTTCTTGCTTTTATCACAAGTGGAACAACTTTGAAATCGTGTCGTTGATGGATTTAGTGGAGGGTGGGATAAGTCAGTTCTTGCTTTATCACAAGTGGAACAACTTTGAAATCGTGTCATTGATGGATTTAGTGGATGTCGTGATAAATCGGTTCTTGCTTTTATCAGAAGTGGAACATTTTAATGGCTTTAAACACCGCACGAGAGGCACAGTAATTGCGATGATGATTTATAAACAGATTGTGCGTAAAGGTAATTAGTGATCGAATATTTTACTGAAGAAAGATCAGGTTGTTTGGTGGATTCTGATGGTGATTTATAAATAGATTTTGCGTAATTAGTGATCGAATATTTTGCTGAAGAAAGATCAGGCTGTTTGGCGGATTCGCAGTAATTAATACCTGGATTCACAGCTAAACCCTTTCCTGCAGGTATGTGCATCTAATTACATGTTTAATGAAAAGATAATGCCCCTGGACTGGGAATTATTAACTTATTCAAATCATATCAACTTGATTATTCTTTATTAAGTATTTGTACCAGCAGCGTTATTGTTATCATCATTATCATTATCACCGTTTCCGTCGTCATCAACATCGTCATTCCGCATTATCCATCATGATCATCATCACCATCATCTTCATTATCACCATCACCATCATAATCATCATCACCATCACCATTTTTATCATCACCATCATTATCATCATAATCATCACCATCATCATCATCATCATCA